CAAAAGGGGATTCCGTGATCTGGGTGACAACCACCTTCGGGAGCCTTCAGATTTTGCATAAACATTTCGATTTACCGGCTGTATCTTGTTTGACCCGACTACTTTGTTGGTGGTAGCAAGGAGTGGGTTCCTCAAGTAAACCACACCCGCGAGCGCCACTGGCTCAGACGCGTAGAACCAGAGATTCCGACGTCCATTCCAGCACTGCAACTTGAGAGGCAACTTTCGGAGTTGGTAAAGCTGCAAGCGATTCGTTCACTGATAGCTCCTACCAACGAACTGCTATTGTTGAACGATAATATGGGGAAACTGATGGCTCCACCGGCACTATGCTTGGAAAACATTGCAAAGTTCACTTCATCCAAGCAACGACCGTCAAGGAATTTTGAAGATGGTCCAGCAAAAGTCTCCAAGCCCCTTATGGGATGTTCTGTCTGCCAGTTGTGTTCAGCAGATCTGGCCCCAACAGAATACCGTCTGCTTCTGTTGCTGCTGATTCAACTAAAAAAGGGAGAGCTTCATAATCCGGACTACTCGAAAACGGACTTCTTCCAGTTTTTTGCCTGAAAGCTCAGGACTTCTAGGCAAACGGCATCCACAAGTCACCTGCTGAAAGGCAATATGTTGACGATTATGATGGGGCATATGACTGTAAATTGCTGACTGGGCTAAAGAAGAAAAGTGATTTGAAAAAAAAATCCACAAATGGGCAAAGACTTTTAGGGCAACCTAATGAAAGAATAGTCATTTCATAAGCGCATTCTCCCAGCATGACGATGTTTGCCTTTGTGAATCTATCGGCAAATTACCTCTACTATTCATGGGTTTCAGAATAACTAAATCAGCCTCCCAGTGTTAGTTCTTTAGCTCTCGTCTGCACTACACTTATAAAGCTCTTGGTTCGTTGTTGCTAATGATGCCAAATGTCTGGGTATCCTTAAAGGAGTAGATGTTGACGTAGTTATCCTTAGTTAGCTTTTTTTCACCTTGTTACTGAGTTCAATCGTTTTGTAAATTGGACTTTTAACACACTATCTTGAAGTGTTTGACGGCATGTCAATTTGACGTACTAAACAATAAACAATAAAAATTAAAACAGCTACGTGATTCTATTAAAAAGAACTTGTACTACTTTAAACTTGATCTCGTTTGGCTTCAGCTTCGAGCAACCGAGCTTTCTAAAGGGCTATCCCCTTACCTGGGCTCGACGGATTCTTTTCGCTTTTCTTTTCTGGCAACTAATTTCGACCAATTCTTCCATTTTCGTGAGCGAGAACAAGACCAGGTTGATTCTGAGGCGTGCCTTCAAATAAGACCTTTACGAGTGAAAAGGGTAAACTTGCCTTGATGGTTTACGAGAAACAAACTGCAGGTAATAGCCATTCGGGGGGAGAGGGGGGGGGGCGAAAAGCCTCACTTGCCTATGGCGCACATCATCAAACTTCCGTCGCACAGGGTGCCGCTGTTGATGAAGTTTTACGGCAAAATATTCCTTAGATGTCCCCCCCCCATAAACAGAAGCAGGCCCTCCTTCACTGCCCTCACCGTCTTCAGAATATGACGTCATCTGCCATCACCGTCGAGCTCAAGGAGGCTTACCGTAATCGCTCCGGCCTGAAGCTGCTACATAATTTCTTCAATCGGGTGAATAGCTTCTCAGAGACACTAGCTGTGACTATGCAAGACCGCTTTTGACCAGCGTTTCAGAGACGTCGTAATGGTCTATTATCCGTCGACGACCTCGTTGAGCTCGTCCCGTTCACCATGTTTACGTTTATGTGATTTTTTGATAGATCGTGCCCATTAGATTTCAGTTGGGCTCATTCGGTTTGGAATTGGCAAAGTATAACCAATTCCGATTTGAATGTGAAGGGCAGTGACTCCTTTTTTGCCGGATCCCCCTCCACGGTTGCATAAAGTGGATTACCGGTGAAGAAAACGTTGTCAAGAAAAAGGGTTGAAGCTCTGCTTCGGTTGTTTTCCACAAATCGATAAGCTCATTTACCCAAAATGAGCCCACCTCCCACGCACAGCTGTGGGCAACTCGCTTTCTAGCACTGTACTCAACGAACGACAAACTCCAAAAATCTTCATTTCACATTCCAAAAACAGCATCAGTGCATGAAAACAGAGGATACTTCAGCGAATGGCTCCCTAGTTGTTTACACAGTTTGTGAAAGAAAACCATTGTCGTGTGGGTGTGTCCTAAAATGGTACTGGGCCTATCCGTTTGAATGCAGCAAAAAAAGCCGGGTTTCTTCACTAGAATTGCGACGACAGAGATTTATGTTTGTATTCTGTAACAGAAATCATCTTAGTTAACGTTAGTGTGCATGCGAGGAAAGGCTAAACATAGACACCGGTGAGTGAAGCTCACGCACCTACACTCAGACACACAGGAAAGCAAGTGGCGGTCGAATATTCCGTTTCGAGAAGATTACACAAACATACAGCAATGGTACAGGTATAGACGACTTTTTTTTCGAACGAACTTAGATAAAAACACAACTCTGTACAATCAAAACCATAACGCCACTAATCGACAAGAATACGGGATGATATCGACAGTTCGGACAATACCGAATACGATGACAATTTACAATCATAATCAAATAGACGAATGAGAAAATTATATTAGGCATAAATATGAACACGTTTTAGAGCTGAAGATGAACCGTAAATTGCTCCGTAGTAGCGCTGATGTTTTTTCACTTCAAATTTTGCCGTTGTAAAGACTCATTCGAAATCAGTTATGAATGACAATCGCCTTTTCGGCGGCATGTGATCCACGAGCTCCACGAGACTTATTCATGTGATCGAGGCCGAGATAAGGAGACGTTACTAGCGCTAAATAGGAAATTTTAATGCTCTCACACAGAAACGTAATGTCTGCAATTCCTATGGCCTCGTATTGTATACATAGGGAGCAGATGAACCCAACACGGATGCACAAGGCGTTGGTATAGAAGAAACATAAAGATCCTCTACAACTTCTCGAAAACTATTTTTTTTTCTAAGTACAGTGATGTGGCCCTCTATACTTCAATGACGCATACGACGAGACTATGGAAATCGCAGCAAAATGCAACGAATGATGCCAGAAAGTTTAAGAAAACTCACATGCGACGTGGGCATGACCCAGCTCGGCAAGATTAACCCTTCCGTTTGACGTCATATCGAGATACCTCACAACACGCGACGATGATATCAGTGCAAATTTGTACTTCTCGTACTCCTTGTCGGGTATATCGAGACGCTGTTGAATGCGTTCCCGAACACTTGACAATAGTTCGTCGTTTGACACCTGGATCACTTAGTTAGAAGACAATTCCGCGCTGCTCAAACCAAGTTCTGATTTTAAAAGCTACTGACCTTCAGGAAGAACGGAACGCCGAACATTCGGCCAGGGTCTTTGTCAAAATGTGCTATGGGTACGAGATATTCGTTGCTTCTCACTACCAACTGGTCTTGGGGAACTTCTTCCACACGACCCTAAACTTGGACAATTAGTCAAGGCTGAAAAAGCGCTCCAACCACAAAACACGCGATAATACTAAAATGTGTACATCGTATTGTATATCAGTTGTGGCATATTAATTTTAAGAACCTACCATATACATGGATGGAGTCATCGTCTTCTGAAACACTTCCATGACTGATGTCTCTTCCTTGAAGATCATGTATGCCCTCATGCTCTGGCTACTTTGGCCGACATAAACCAATCTGAAAGAGATCTTTGTGAGCTTAAAACAGATAATACCCCACTTCTTCTGAACTGTGCGCATGTAAAGATAGTTTATAGCGTCCTGCTGTGATGTGATGTAAAAGCGAAGACACGCCACAATTCTGTTATTTTCAGATAGTATTAAACTTCCCCCATCGTTGCGCCATCCGAGAAGATCCAAAAAAGATGTCTAAGAGGATTCGTTCAACAACAGATTTGAGCCAAAGCAGTATACATCGATTCATCAGGCCACGTTGCAGCGCAGCCGTGCACCTCCCCACACATGCAATGTAATGGTTCCAATCAAAAAAAGGTAGAGCGTCCATGAAGAAAAAACAGGATTGGCCCAACATATGGTACTAACCTGAGCTTTCCTGTACCATTCGGAGCAAATTTGAACTCGCGCCGGGCCTCTTCAAGAATATCACGCACTGTGCCAGTCTTCTCAGGGAAAATGGTGATTTCCTAAACATAAAAATTTCCTAATGGTTTTTATAGCCTGCCTCAAATAAGCTCATCATCTTACCGTGATAGCCATTTTCTCATCCATCATTTGGATTTTCATTTGCCGCTTCCGTTCCATGTCGGCTATCGGGATCGGCATCTTTGTGTACACAACGCGATACCTACAATTGCAAATTTAATAATATTACATATGTATTTGCTAAATTCTTGAAAAATCTGACGTTCCCGAAGCACCAAAACAAGTTCTATTAGGAAATTTTGCCAATTTCTACAATTCTATTTCACTGAAAAAAAAACACGCATGCGAACCTTTTATTACGGCGAGGATCATGAAGCTGTGCGCCTGCCAATCCCAATAGACCGTTCACACGTAGCACCTGGAAATTGCGTTTAAAATTATATGTTGGAGTATTGTCGAAGCTCAAGCAATTCCCTTACCTTACACTGCGCATCGGTTAAAAATTGAGTGGCACGATCATTGAACGGGGACACACGCCACAGAAGAATTTTGGCAGGATCGTAATTGATTTCTTTACCAATGTAATCCACTAATTGTCGCATGGTCCAGTTCTACAAAATGGGTAATATGGTTGGTTGGGAGACTACTTGTTCCACAAAGAAAGAAAAAAGAGTAATGAATATAAGGCCCATTCCGACGTCAGGTTCGAGCTGTAGCCGAATTCACCAACGAAAATCAGGCTGCGCGGCTTGACAAAACAAGGGAAACTCAGAATCCCTCCAAAAAAATTTATGAGGCAAACTAACCAGTCCGATAGTTCCGGTAATTGGTGGATCAATCTCAGCATGACTGGAAACGAACGAGTCATTATTGGCAATGGCTTCAATGTCGATAGTATTGTATAGGGTGTCCAAGTGCAGCTTTGCGTTGTTGGTGTCGTTTGTGCGATCCTGACGCTCGGCAATCAGCAGCCCTCCGTCGCTAACTTCAACTACGGTATTGTCAGCACACAGCGGCTTGCCGAGACTTTCAATCAAGCGAATGCGATCAGGAGCGACTTCCTACAAAAAAAGTAGATTTTCACCGCTCACTAAAAAAAGTTCAATTCAAAGATCACATAAGACACCTCGTAGAAGCGGAGTGGTGTGCCTTCCGGCAAGCCAATGAGCTTCAAACACTCGTTGGTGTATGCAGACATGCTCTGACGATAGGCAACTATGAAATGGCCGACATATCGCAGAGAGCGTGACTCTTCATCGTAGTACTTGAGGAACATCAGCATCTCGGCTGAAAAGAAAATCTTGGTCAAATGTCCAGTTTCCAAGCAAGTACGTTTACGATATTTCGCGGTGGCTCCAAAACTCTACGGACTAGTACAGTTTAGCAAAGTGTTATTGAGTCATTACTACAGTATTAATATTGTAGCAATGACGAAAAAATTTAGAGCTAAAGACCGCAAATAGTGCAAACTCACAGTTTTCATTGTAACTCCTCAACGAGTGTGACGCAGTAGTCTCTATGTACAACAAATTACGATCATTTTCCAGAACAGCTTCTAGAGTTTTCTCCTGCGTCTCTTCGGAATGCGGAATCTGCAAATTAATTCCTTTTAAAGATCTGCTTTTCTGCAACATCAATGCCACAAGGTTCCTACCAGTGATGTTGGGCGCAAACGTGGTAATGCCGACATTATACTACCCTCGTCCTTGTAGGTTGTCTCTTCGAACTTCCAAATTCTAAACATCTCCCGAGCAGGGATCTAAAAACTATTAGTTTATTTCAACACTTGTACCAACTTGAAATCAAACACCGCACATCAATCTCAGATTCGCCGGAGAAAAGCTTGTTCTTCACATAGTCGTATAGTTGAGGAATTGTCATGTTCTTCTCGATTTTTTCACGAGGCAGACCAGTGTCGTCTAGAAGTTTCGGGTCAACCAAATCAAATCCATTGTAACTGGCGAGGTGCTCGTCAGTGACCATCTAAAAATATTGCAAGAAATAAAATGATAATAAATAATATGACATAATATTACTATGATATCAAAGCAGACTCGTGGCATTTTCATCCATTTCAGACCTGATATCAATTCAGTCAAACCACTCAACTATTCCGAGAATAATGCGTCCTACGCAGTAAATAACTTCTGTGAGCTTCTACGCCGCTGTGGAAGCAAAAAAAGTGTCTCCATCGAATTGTAAATGCTATCACGCTTTGCATTAAGCAGTATGAATTCTTGCACTCTTGATTTTCCACCACCAAGGGTAACCCCCAAAGGTTTCGCTGTTTCCATGACGCTACATTATGCATGCATACGCCTCGCTCCACACCTCCATGCACTAGCGGCACCATTCCATTGGAATGAAAGCCGTCTGGACCCACGCTACGAACTATTTTTGTCCGAACATCGGATAAAATAGGATCGCTTTGCACTGATAGCCCATACAATTGCTGTACTCACGACAATCTCGGTGTAGAGATGAGCCTCCTGCTTCTCCTTTTTCTTCTTATTTTCTTCCTCGCGTTCATTTTCGAATCTCTGCACAAGGTGAGCTGGTACTTGCAGATTCTCGTTCTGGCAGAGGACATCATCTGAAGAGCGTAAAATTAGTACGAGTGGCCATCCCAACCAGCAAATTTAGTCAAATTAAAACAAACAAACTGCAGCCGGACCTATGCAACTCTGTCTCACATAGACAAGCATGTATGCATTCGTATAGGTTCGTCCCGTCGACTCGCCATCGTCTCCTCCATAGTTGGCCATCACAGCTTCCCTCACTGTTGCTCGCGATACGACGTCATCATCAAATTTGCACCACTGAAGAAAAAGAGCAATAAGGCTTTCAACATAGATATTAACATCATAATATATTACGAATGCAAGAAACAATTTAAATACACTAATATTGGAAAAATAGCTGAAGTAAGACGCATCAAACTAGTGACAGAACGTGGGCATTGCAACAATCATTCCAGAGGCCATGAACACATTTGCCACCACCATGAACGGAACATTCAATTTGCGCCTCTATCTTGACTAATTGCAGATGCGGGAAGGTGGAACGCCGGCCGTCAATGAGCCAATAGTGAAAAAATGAACGCGCAACACACCAAATTTCGTGTAAACTAAGGACAATCTCGTTTACGATAAAAACTTTCTCCAAACCTTCGGTTTGTATTTCTCTCCAGGTGGACGGAGTCCAGTGTTGATGAACACGACATAATGACCGCCATGGAAATCACCGGAATGGACAAGAACAGCATGAAGACAATAGGTGTAATCTTCTCCATTCCCTTCCATGAACTCCTTTAGGCATAGCTTATCCGGGAAAGCAAACCTAAGAAGTATCAGTTCGATAAAGAAGCGACTCTTGAAACAAATAATCGATTGATATCATCACTTACTTATCATTAATTTTAACATTAGCATCAAGGGTAGCATCGTACTGGAAGCGCATCAGTTGCAGGTGCAGAACAGGCGGAAACGAGACAAATTTCACGCCTTTCTCAGCTGGCTGCATACCGTAATCGCCAGCATCGTACTTATTCTCACCATCCAGCCGCTCTACTTGAACGTACTCGCGGAAGGATTGCATGACTGAAAACATACACTCTAATTACAACACAACACAAATTCACTCTTTGTTGACAAAAGCGATTTGCGATCAGCTGCCTAAACAGAATTTCATGGGAAAATGAGACTACGAATTCTGAAAAACAAACCATTCATTTCCATCGGACCCCTCCAACCCGTAATCTAATGAGGGGGAATCTATTGGCTAATGCACTGTTCCTCTATAGGTAAAGAAGACTGGTCAGAGCAGGGTTAGCGTCGAATCAAACGACGTGAAGGTGGTTCAGCCTTCAAACTTGCGAAGAGGAAAAAAATATGGTCGAAGCGACACTCACTATTGTTTTTGCCTTTTATATTGAGCTGGATATCATAAAATGGTTCCTCTTTACTGCTCTCAAAGCTGACGTTAGTGCAACGAATATAAGACTTCATAACACCACGGAACAAATTTGGTATGGTGTCTTCCACCTGAAAAACTTTGTTTAACGAGAATATCGAGCAAAGCGACTTATGCAAGGCAATGGCAAAAAACTCTTCCCATCCTTCTCAAAGGCGTCAAATAAATGACGAAAAATCAAGACGTATTACCAAATGTTGTGTAAGAAACGAAACTAGTCCGTCTCGGTTCGTAACTTACAGGAGATTTCTTCATCTTACTCTCCAGATTATCGAGCAATACCCTACAGAGTTCCTGAACGTCATGTTGCATAAATGTCTCCAACGAGTCCCACCCAAACGACTTCGTTAGCTTCTTTGTTCCGACGGGACGGTCGGAGTGCTGTTAAAAAGAAGAAATCAATAAAGCAGTGTAACAAAATGAACACACGAGCAAAGAATAAATTAATGCAAGAACAGCAGAAAAAAAATTCTCAAAGAGCTACCTGTAAATCATAGAATACCCGCTGCATGGCCAAGGCAACATTATTTTCTGAATCATCTTGTGATACCGGCATATCGTATACTGCCTAAACACAACACTTCAGTCTTCAACAAAGACACCAAGCAAAACTCATGAAGAATACCAAATTCAAACATAAGAAAAAAAACGTCAAGATAAATGCTAGTAAAAAAACCCGAACAAAACGCACCTTTCGCAACTTCGTTGTAAAATATAAAGTCTGTAGAATAGAATTCATATAACAAGTGGCACCCTGATTCTTAAGTCCAATATAACCAGCATGTTTTTTACTGTCCCATCTGAAATTTGAAAAAAGATTATTTTCACGCCAGATGTTGACGTACTATAAATTGCATCGACCAACAGTGGAAATTTTCGGTTCTAACAGCAGTCTGCAGCAGGCGTACTCTTAAAAAAGAAAAAAAATAGAAAATTTTACCCCATTTGTTGATAACAAATTGACACAGCTTAGGCTTTGACTAAGGTGGCTTAAATAAGGCCTTGAATAATATTTTTTTATCATCCCTAAAACATTAAACATACCCAGGGATGCAGTAGCGATTACTTTACCCAAGTTGAATCAATGATCATATCCAATCATTTTCAAGCTTCATCTTTTGAAATGTTTTCTTCGCTTAATCGATGTATTTATGGGATCACCGTTAACAAGCAACTGATATTTATTCTAACGTTTTGTTGTTTGAATTTTAGGTTCCATACTTCACCCAATACTCTTCCTTTAATACACAAAAAACTTTCGTATTCCTATACTTTCGAACAATAAAGAATCCAAACTGATATTCCATAAAACATTAGAGAGAAGGAATAATAAGTACCGAACAGGCTCAGGAAAAGCATTCTTTACCCAAAAAATAAAATAATTGATGGCTTCGGCTGCTGCAGAGCACAATGACAGAAACGGCAAATTAAAAAAGAGTAAAAATAGATTGCATGAAAAAAAAACAACCAAAGAAAACTCACTGTACACCGTGCGGAGCATCTGCCGACACATGGACGACAAGGCGGATAGTATCATCTTTTATGAAGCCATTTTCAGGATTTATTAAATGCTGAAGAATAGTAATACTTTACCAACATTTCGAAAGACAAAACCACAAATCCAGGAAAGAATAAATACTCACATCACAAGTTAGGAATTGTGAGTATCCCCAATCGTTCTCCTTCGGATAAAACGTATGTGTTATCCGTCGCGAATGATCATCGAAACCTTCTACTTGACCAAGAACCTGCAAAATTTAAACATCAAAGACAGCCTTTGAATTCATTTTGTTTCCGTTTTTGCCCTTAAAGAAGGCTATTTTACACCCCGCCCCCCCTACCCGAAATTGTTAAAGCGGAAAGCAACATGACAGATGGCTCGAACTGCTTTGTCCTTGGACAAATGCTCTCAACCTTGTGTTCACTTTGGTAATTTATCATCTATAAACATTCCAAAAACAACACAGACGCCTTCAAATCTGGGCTGCAGTTAACCCTAACATGATGAACGCGTTTTCAAAAAGAAAAGATATTGCGACAGCAATAAGAAAAACCGCTCGTGGAGCGTGTTCGATCTAGCACTCAGAATAAAACGAATTTAAAGGCCCACCAATGAAAACCTCTCAAAAAAAACTTCGAACGAACGTGTGCCCTTACAAGACTCCAGAGAAATTCATGATGAACAGCTCAGTTTGGATACTTGCACAATTTTAAAGACTCTAACAAACCTTTAAAGATGCTGATGCTATGCAATTCCAGGCGACAGCGTCGGAGTCTCCATTACATTGCAGGAAAAAGCCTAGTGCTTTGTTCGGTCGAGTACCCGTACCAACTCTGGCCGCATCCCTGAGCACAAATCGAATCCAGAACATTGGAATTTCAGATGTGGGAATTACAGCTAAGACTCACCTTGGAATTGCCAAGATCTTCCACGGTAGTCCTCGTACAAATACAGGTTTCGAGAGACGCTGTTGAGTTTCTGGTGATCCTTTACAGAATTGGCTAAACCCATCAATATCGAGGTAGATTGTGCCTTCAGGTTTGTACAGATCGTCGGGATCGTCTTCTTCCTCCGTCATGTAGTCGCTTTCACAACGTGGCATATCTTCGACTACTAAAAAGCATGATAGGTAGAGAATTCACTTGACAAAACACAAATGCTTACTTTTTATGGGCTCTGCACATTCGTCGTCACACGAGACGTTCACGTCCATTGCAGCGTCAGGAGGTGTACAGGCGTCGTCTTCTTCACTAGCGGAATCCTCGACCATGTCTACCTAGAATGCGTAAGGTATGGCGTACATAGTGCAAAAACAGAAAATCGGCGAGTGACAGGAAAGGTTCAGGATCAACACCTACTTCGACGTTTTCTACGTCTGTATCTCTATTGTCGACGTCCATATCTCTGTTTTCCACGTCAGTTTCTCGGTTTTCGATTTCAGCAGACTTCAGTGTAATATCTGCCTTATTATTGATGGCGTCTTTGGCTTCGATTTCCATCTCAGGAGCCGAGACGTCCCTTTCTGTAGTACCCTTCTCTACAGAATCTTTTGTTGGTGTCTGTCCCTTCTCGTCAACTCCGTTCTCCATATCGATATATAGGAGGGTCAGGAGCGATACGATATTCTATACGAAATTACGATACACTAATATCAACTAATTTCTCACACAATATTTAACGAGAAATTTCACTACAAGAGTTTTATGAGCAAAGCTGACGTAGAGAAACACAAAGACGATGATTTAAGCGATTTCTCAACCCGCCTCAGTTCAAGGTTGCACATGGCGAATAAACCAATAACGTGTCTAATAGTTTCTAAATCCTGATAATATTGCGCGATTTCTGCCTTAGTTTTACAAAAAGCTCGCTGGGGTATGTGCAAGGTCCCCAAAGATAGCCCATAGGTATTTGGATTTAGGAATTTTTGAGAACGAATGTAAAATAATCTTTAAAAAGCCGCATTGTGATCAACACTGCCTACAAAAATGATTGGATTGAATGAAAAATGAGCAAGTATTATGATGTAAGGTCGATGTCAGACTTTGCGAATCGCGCGATTCGCTAGCGTCTGCGGTCGCGTCGCGGCCAGTGAATCACTCAATTGGCTGGTACCGCAACGCGACCGCGGACGAGCGACGCGCGGTTCGCAAAGTCTGACATCGGCTTAAAGAGGAAATGAAAGGGAGAAAAGTGTATGACAGGAAGTGGAACGACAGAACTCGAGAACTAATTTGAAATTCCATGAAACCTGGGCATGTTGAGAATATTGCTTGTTTTTCTTCT